CAAGCTGCAGGAAAGCTTGTATAACCGTAAAGGTGTTGGTTGGAGAGGACTGGGCAACGGGGCAGTCGCGAAGCCTGATGCCATTGGAAATCTATTGGATGAGCTCGACAAATGCCTAGCCGCGATGAGAGCCGAATCAACTTCGAAACCCTTAGTTAGCAAGCCTAACCCCGAAAATATGATCAACAACGAGCTTCAGAATACTGGGCTTGCCAAGCCGGCAGAAGCGTCTAGCGATCTTTGTGAAGGAACAGGTAACAGAAATAAGCAACAACAAATAAATGCTGGACAAAAGGCGGATATCATCATGATCGATTAACGGCCTTCTCTCGTGCGTCCTTTTTTTTTCAGGTTCAGTATGGGCAACTGGCTTTGCAATTAGCGGCCCAATTTTTCCTTCCAACGACCCTTGTGTTAATTGCAGGTGACCTCTAGAAATCGCCTTTTTGTACTTTATAATGCGTGTGTTTTGGACGTCTGCTTGAAAGCAGGTTATTTATTCCCTTGCAAAACTAGGCTAATGGGTAGAAGTTTATGTTTTCATTTCCCCTTGCGATACCGAATTATATGTAGCCCTCTTGGTGTTACACAGGACATATCTAAGTGTGTAGACTCCGGCTCTAGTCATTACAAACATGATGTGGGAAGCCCCATTGTTCTAATTACCCAAAACGATCCACCTTTACCCGGCCTCGATTTTTCAGGATATCATACTCGATCCATGTCATAGACGACAAATCGCCTTCTGGGAGGAACCGTCCCGGGTTCATCACATGGCAACCTTCGTATGTCACGCTGAACGGCGCACTTTCAGAATCCGCTAGGATAAATGTGGTGGGCAGAGGGTACAACTGCAAGGAGGATGCATAATCCCACAAAACAGGGCGCAGAGATTGAGGGAAAGGGGACATGGTACCTTGATCCAGTACTGTTTTCACAAGTTTCCGTGCCGAGTACATAGCAGTGGAAGATTGGGTAATATTAACAGCGTCTTGTTGGTCTTGAACAACACGGATTTGGTTTTCTGGATCAACAGTACTATTTGGGCCGTCCATATCGGTGGGTTTGAGCCCAACAGTCACCGCATTGCGCCTCAGGCGGCTGGAAATGTCGTCGCGAAGAATAGCAATGTCATGGATTGGGCCAAATAGAGAGATGCGTGACGGGTTGGTAGTCCATATAGCCTCCCCAGGTGGCTCCGATATCTGATTTCGATCCAACTGAGAGTTCGCATTTGCAAAGGCACGTTTTACTCTGGATGTAAATAAATCGGGCACCGCATGGCGTGGTATTGCCGAAGTAGCACCAGCTGAAAAGGCCGAAGACCAAGGATCATTTTCACCAGGGACGAATATGAACGTTGACCGCTGCAGTAATAAGGGGAAATCAGACAACACCAACGCCAGCATGTCAAAGTATTCCTTGTATTCGATGCTTCCACCCTGCCCCCCGCCATTGATTACTGCCCTCTGAACAAAGTTCCCAATCAGAACAAATGCCATAGGGAGATCCTGCAAGGCCAATTCATTGTACAGATTAAGGACTTTCCTCAAGGCATCCATGGTCTTCATGTTGTCAAGATTAACCTCTCCCATAATGACCATCTTGAAACGACGATTCAACTGGATTCCGTCGTGAGCCTCCTGTAGGCACCTTGTCTGAATTTGCCTCATACGGGAACCTTGAGCACGCTCACTCCCGACTCCTAGGAAATCAACCCAGCCAAACTCGCCGCTCGAGTTTATGTCCTGACCCCTTTCATGAATATTAACCCCCAGGGATGTACCTCGCCGTTCACAAGGGGGACCACAAATGGTAGCACCGACGAATTTACCCCCTATCGCACCTCCAATCCCGCTGTTGCCGCCCAACGTAGAACCTTTCACATTGTCTTCCTCTTCATAGATCCCATCAACAAGCACAAACATACCTGGTGTGAGCCAGGCACCATTCATAGGAATTAGACGGGCATGACTAAGGTCCAAGACAATACTGCCCGTCAAGTCGGTGAGAGATAATTCGCCTGTAGGTGATATAGAAAGTAGGCCAATCAACAGATGAGACGTTCCGCTTCTTCCAAGTAGATTCGCAACAGGGGTAAGTCTGTAGCACTGAGTTTTGGCAAATGAGGACGAAGAGCGCTGTAATGTAGGTACCGAGGCAGAGGCTAGCGAAACCTGAAATGATTCGTTTCGTAGTAGACGCTGGTGGACAACATTATATCGATTTCTGAATAGGGCGGTTTTATGAGAAGGCTGAGGAAATAAGGATGGGTTTGATTTTGTGACCTCAAAATGTTTTTTCCCAGAATTGTAGGTCAATCTTGGAGTATCAAAGGCATCAATCACCTTGAGCCAGTGCCTCGGATGGGTCAACGTATCATCTGAATTGTCTTGTTCCTGGTCGTCCGTGGTCGTCGAAGTGGAGGGTTGCAAGCTAGGAATTCCATCAGTGCCTGGGGTTCGTATGGATCCTTCCTTTGACACAAGCTTCGGATCAATTATCCTGCCGCCACTCATATTCCCTTCTAATGTTTGTAGTATGGCTTTCAACGAGGCTCCCTTACCCTCCTCGACGATGACACCTCCACCAGCTTTTCTCCAACTCTTTGCTACCTCGTCGAGTACGCGCTCCGCAAGACCTTCTTCGCGCCATCCTGATCCACAGCTCTTGCCCACAAAGGCAGCTAGGGATTGAAGAGCAGATGATGACAGTGTTAAGTTGTGCTTCCTTGTGAAAGTTCGGAACGCGACAGGTCGAAGAGTGGCGGCGGGAAGTAATATGGGAAGTATAGACGTTCTCGCTGGGATAGGATTTGGTTTGTTAGGCCGTATGGGATGAATAGGTGTACCAAATCCCGGTGATGATGAAGGCACAGGATCTGGGTTCATCATTGCATGAACACTGACGCTCAAAGAGCTAGGTAATATCTTTTGTAGCCTCGAGAGACTTTGTCAGATATTGTTAGGAGACTTTTGCATAAACGAAGAGTCACGCTGGCTATTCAAAACACAGAAAATTTGCTCTTTTTCTTGAAAATTACTTGATTCACCATATTCTTCCCATAACATGGGTTTCGACGGCTGCCGAGGACGCGGTGGCGGCGCGTCACACGCGTCGGATAAGGGTGGATGTCATTTAAGTTTAGGCTCGGCCATTTTGCATCATCTTGTCAGTTTCGCCCACATCTTTTTTTTTTTTTGTTTTCCGGGGTCTTCATTTTAGTCGACTGCCTTAATCCTTCGGAAGTGCTATCTTTCCTCACAATATATCGTTCCTTTTCTCATATCCACGATACTTAAGGAGAACAGTTAAAACTATGGATACGCAGGGTTTGAATGAAGCGAGCGCAGCTCCGGACTTTGCGGTTGGAGACGTGCGAGAAAAACTAGAAGCCCTGATAAAGCATGCTGCGGCAAAGGATGCAATCAAGGACTACAACACAGCTGCGGAACTCTACTCAGAAGCTACCGAGATCCAAGCGAAGCTGAACGGAGAACTATCGCTTGAAAACGCTGATCTGTTATTCAACTATGGGAAGGCTTTATATAATGTCGCTATAAGCAAGAGTGATGTTCTTGGCTCAAAGGTTGCAGGAAAGGCGCCGGGCCAGACGGCAGCGAACGACCAAGCCGCTTCTGCCAATTCTGTTTCAGTTGCTAACAGTCCCATGCAAGGTGCAGTTTCTTCAGGTACGACACAAATAGAGGCCATTGCGCAGGAAGCGGAACCCAAAGACGCTCAGAAGAAGCCCTATTTCAAGTTTACTGGTGACGAGAACTTCGATACCGATTCAGATGCCGATGATGAAGAAGGCGCTACTGGAAGAGATGATGACGACCCCGATGACCATGACGATGACGACCTTGCCAACGCTTTTGAAGTTCTCGACTTAGCCCGAATTCTCTACCATAAGAAATTGGGCGCCTTTGAACAAGAATCTGAAAAAGGCAAATCCACGGAGACTGCACCTGAACTCAGGAAAATCAAGGAACACCTGGCCGATACATACGATCTCCAAGCCGAAATCTCACTAGAAGGTGAACGATTTACCGATGCAGTGACAGATCTAAGGAAGGCACTCGAATTCAGACAATCTCTTTTCCCCATGGAAGACCCGTCAATTGCAGAATGTCACTACAAACTCTCGCTGGCTATGGAGTTCGGGGCTGCCAAGCATGACGATTTAGACGGCGAATCCAACCCCACTAAGGTAGACGGGGAAATGAGGAAGGAGGCAGTGGTCCAAATGGAAAAGGCAATCGAGAGTTGCCGAGTCAGAATATCTCAAGAACAGAAAAAGTTGGTAAACGATGATTCTCTAGATGAAGACAGGCGGGCAGCCTTGAAACGGAGAATTGCCAATGTGAAGGAGATCATATCAGATATGGAGCAGAGAGTGAGTTCCTACCCAAGCTTTGAATTTGCGACTCGGTCTCTTATTCGTCCACCAATTTCATTTTCAGTTGCTCGATCTACGACGTCCACCAGTGTCAGTTGAGAAGGGGCTTGACGATCAGAACCAAAATATGATCAAGGGAATACTGGGGCAAATCATGGAGGAGTCCAGCTCCGACAAGCAGTCCCTGCTCGATGCCGCTACAAGAAACGCCACGGATCTTTCTGCTTTTGTAAAACGAAAGCCAGCTGACAGCAAAACATCCCAGCAGGCCAACATTTCTCTGAAGCGCTCGGTGGAAGAGGAGGTAAATGGTGGTAAAACAAAAAAGTCTCGGACGGGTGATGCTAATGAAAATCCTACGTAATTGATCACTCTACGATTCTTTTATTATACCCGAATATAACCAGTGAAGTACGGCTTCCATTAGTATGCCCCCTAGTCCAGCAACTCATTACAGACATTAGTATCACTCAATCATAAGTATGGACTCCGTGCAGGGTGCAGACAGGTGCCAGCAAGACACAAAACGCGACCTTGGAGCCGGAAGTGACCGTTATCAAGCCATGGTTCCTAGTGTAGAAGAATGTCGAGCAATCCTGCGGTTTTTTCGACGTACTGCTAGTCCGGGGCTCCATAATCCACTAAATAGGTCCTCGCACTCATCTTCATCCTGGCTGTCAAATTCGATACCATCATAAACCGATTTTGAAGGCGCCATTGTGGGATTGAGGGAGTCGGTAGATTCCACCAAGCCGGCACCGAATGCTGGATCCCATTCGGGGGTCGTCGTAATCTTTTTGGTCTCCAAGATAAACTTGCCAACTTTGTACCGCTGGGACTCCTCCTCCGCACTAACATATTTCCACCCAAGCAAATTCCCGCAAAAAGCACAATCAATGTCGCTTACCGTATGGGCACCTGTGACTAGATGCCGGGATACGGGTTTCTGGAGTAACGTATTTGGAAGCGACTCTCCGGGATAAGATGGTGCACTGGCAGCAGGTTCTGCGGAGACCAAATAAGCCCGGCCGTGGCGACCAGTGAACCCTTTGCTGATAATCTGGGTGGTCAAACACAGATGAGCGGCACAAGTCGAGCACCGGATACAAGATATATGGCCTTGGAGATATTTATTCTTGGAGGGTTCATCGATCGGGAGTATAGATCGTAGGTTGGAAGGCGAAGCTTCCGCATTCCGTTTTTTGGTCTGGAAAGCCAGTGATGGAAACAAAAACTTCGGAAACATAGAAGATTGCTAATGTGGAGAACCCTTAAGTTATAGAATATGCTGCTGTGTCCTAACCTTTCACACACTCTCTCTTTTGGAAGCCGAGAAGCGGAGGGATATAACTAAGTTGTGTTAGTTGTTTTTGGAGTGTTCCACTTGAGGTTGATGATTCGAAGTGGACCGACCCCTCACCCATCTTATCGCAGGTACATCCCAACACGGTTTGTGCACGATGTAGATAGCAACCGGAGTCCTTTCTCACTTGAGGGAAGTTTTAGCCTTTACACCTAATAAATAAGTGGAGTATTTCCAAATTACGCCGCCACTACACCACCACCCTACTCCCAAAACAGCGTTCGGCAAGCATCTTTACTTCCTCAACTACAAGGAGTGATGAAAATGATGCCAGTGCTGACGTCACACGCGCAATAGAGAGATAGGAGAGATAAGACAACAGCTGGCCTGGAACTGAACGCAAGATTGCAGATTGCCGATTTAAACAGTATGCCAGTCTACTTCCAATCCTCTAGACTACAGGAGGATCCAGTGTATCGGAAATAACTATGAAACAGTATATTAACGGGAACAACTTGGCGGCAAAGAGTTATACATATCAGAATTCAAAAGCCAGGTCAACTAAATAAAAAGACAACTAGTCGATATTGAATAAGCTGGGTTTAAACCTCGGCACTTAAGAATATCCATCTTGTGCTGACTGGCGCACTGAGACGATTCTTATTATCCCATGGCTGCAGAGTTGTTAAGCCAAACCCACACCATCCGAGATTTCTTGTAATTTCCAGGTCGCCGCCATCTTGCGAGCGAGGCACACATGCGACTATTTGTGAACATCCAAATGCCCGCATGCTGGCTAATTCAAACAAGGCAATCAAACTACATGATTCAGGTTAGTATAAATAGGCTGTAATTATCCCGGTTTGAGGTGTGGGGGTAGAATTGTATTTCCATACCCGGATTTCAAGCCGTGTCGGAGTGACGTTTCTGGGAGAAATACAAATAGTGCACGCTCGTCGTTTGTGTCAGTTACGAATCCTCGGTATATAAGGTCGCTGGTATAATCCAATACTTCAACCCATCTTCCAATTCGCCCATTTGGATACTCGTCATTATGCAGCTGAATTCGGGACGCATCTACCCCAAGTGATTCCTGCCTGGGCAACCTCCTCTCACCAAGGAAAATCCCAGTCAGTTTGTCACAGAAGAGCCTCTCACACTCTCCCGGGATGATATACGTTGCCTCCCCTTTCGGCTCCGGTGAACCATTCGCCATGTAATCGCTTCCTATTGGGGAAGCGAGCGAAGTATCGAGGGGAGGACTTATAGGATCGGTTTTCAACCCTGAGAGGACCTCAGGGATACCACTGCACTCCTGAAAAGTGGGACTCGCGCGTTAGTGGACTATAAAAAAATGAGCGATAAGGTATTTGAAACCACTCACCGGCCCCGTTCGTAGTGCAGTAGTGGAAGCCATTGACGGTTGAGGTGGAACTGTCCACACTGTAGCAGCTGGCGAAAACAGTAATTTGGGGATTTTTGTCCAGAAACCGCTGCAAAAGACTTGAAGTACTACTGTTATTATTCATAGGCATAGCCATAATGGGAGTCGCCTTCAAGGGGTATGACGGCAAGGAACGGCGGTTAATAGAATATTAACGGGTAAGTGACGGGATTGCTCCTGCGAGGTCAAAGACCGGCTGGTGAGTGGAGATGGATGGCGAAGTATATGTTGGGAACGGGAGGGGTCTTGAGTACAAGCGAAGTAAAGACAGAGCTTGTTTGAATAACTTCTAATGCTTCTCAACGACAACAATAGTAGGGCTACTTAGTAGGACAGGCGTTGGAATGTCAGCGGCAACATGGTGTTCCTTCCACCTTTTTCCTTAGAGGTCATCTGACCGCTAAAATTGCCTTAGGCAACAAGGTATGGAAACTAAAGTACGCAAAGTCTTGGCTTGAAGATTCAAAACGATACTAGGAGTGATGGTATTTACAATTGTAAAAGTACATTTGCCATATACAAAGGCTAGTAATATGGAATAGGAAAGGTCATGGCTTCGGTTTGCACAATTCCCGAAACACACATCGCAAAAGTGCTATATTCTTCTCAAAGCTCACGGTAATCGCTAGGTCTTACCCTCCGATTTCTAGATTGATGTCGTTGGGGATTCACGGGCTGCCGAAAGTAGGGGGAGTCTTCCTCCCTGCCGAAAGGCGCGCTGAATGCTGTCCGCTGCTGGTTTGAAAAATTACCTGGCCCCAACCCTTGCCCAAATCCAGTATTTTGTGTCATCGAGACAGGCATCTGGGGCATCGCAAACATATTTAGGGATGGCTCGCCTGCGCTGCTGTAAGCACCGGACGCCCCATAGCCATTAGAAACCGTTCCATCGGCACGATCATTATACATCCCGTTTGAGAGCGGATTGAGATTCATCATATTCATCTGATTCCAGGTAGGGTCCATACTGGGCGCAAAGCCATTTCCAGGCAAACCCATGGGATTTGTGAACCCCATTCCTTCACCAGCAAAACCAGGTTCGGGAAAAGAGATTCCTGGTATTCCTGGGGCCGTCATGAATCCAGGCATTCCAAAAGGCATCTGGTTGAATGGCAGCGTTTGTAAGCCGGCGGGCGTATCTTTCAACTGAGCTGTTTCGGTAGAGGATGAACCATGATCAGATTTTTGTTTCTTTAATGAAGAAACTGGGTTTGGGTCCTCAACTTCTTTCACAGCGATATCCTCAGCGGGTCTTTTTTTAGGGTTGACAGGTACCGAGTGCTCTCCGTCTTTGTTCTCAGTGGGGGCGCTATTAGAATCGGGCACGTTGTTATCGGGGCGATCCTCCAGCAGTGCTGGCTGCTTCTCCTTTTCTTTCTTGGAATCTGCTTTCTCAGCCTCATAGGCTTTTATCTTCGAAAGAACTTCATCATTCGCAAAGAGATTATCGAGCAAAACACCCTCTGTAGCACAGCCAGGACATACAAAATCACTCTCAATCAATGCATTTGTAATACAATCATTGCAGTAAGTCTTTTGACAGCAGGGTGTCTGGGTAGGGTCTAGAAACATCCGCTTGTCAATTGGGCATTCTAACCCACGAGCCTGTAGCTCCTTGCTATGTTCGGCGGCCGCCGCTTCAGCTGCAGCCGCCGCGGTTGCTTTGACCTTCTCTTGATATAATTCCCATGACGCTTGATCTGGTTTAGTAACGATAAAGTCACCATCAGCATTAACCATAACGCCCGTGTTTCGCAATTCTTCAGTGGAGCCATCAAGCATGAGGGAATCTGGCTTCTCAATCTTGGTCTGTAATGATCGAGGTATTCCTGTTGATCGCTTCACTCTGTATTTGCCGTCAAACTTTGGGTCATTATTCGTGGGGCATGCTTGAATCCAATGTCCTATAATGTAGTCCATTAGCATCCTGTCAATTTGGAACCAAAAAAGGACTTGCCTTTTTCACGACAACGGTAACACAGGTAGCCAGGTGGTGGAGGGTGGTCTGGAACGTTTACAGGCTTGCCTCTACCGCGACCAAATGGAACAGGGGTGGCACTATTGTAACGCATCAGTATTTAAACTCTCATCACCGGTCAGTAAAACTTACTTCGCCATCTCTTGCTGCTGCTCTCGCCATTGGTTCGCTTGTAAATTAAAGAGAGCGTTAATTTTTTCCTCCTCTGTTTGAGCATTATTCAGTTCTTGGACGCCATTGCTGACTGGTTGGTTAGAAATTGGGACTGATCTGCTCGCCGTCAACTGGTCGTTACGGGGAACAGTGCGAGCATTCATTGGCATCTTCCCAGATACATATCGAGCCGCACCTCCCTTTCCCGGTCGCGTAGCAGGGAGCCTTCGAGCAATAACAGAGGTAGAGCGCGGTATAACACTGGTGTCATCATCATATTCTAAGTGAGGCATTGTTAGCTTCCGCATTCAACGTCACCAGGTGGAAAGAGTATCCAGGAGCTTACCTTCGCCAGTATCTTCGTTATAAATTGATAGCTCAAAATCAGACCCGTCACCCAGTCTACTTTGATTGATGATTTCTCGCTTCAACTCGAAGACAGAGATACCGGTGCCATCAAAAGTGACCCTTGAAGGTTCTCTTTGAGACTTGAACTTGAAGTGAACAGAGGATGACATTGTATTGAATTGGACGTCCAATGATGTGTTTGTGGATGTAAATTAAATCAGAATTTTGGGTTTTTATACCACTTTCACGAATGAGGGATACAAAGCAGACAGTATTGCAGATTCGGAAGGATAGGGCAGAAGATAGAGGGCACAATTGAAGGCTCGAGAAAGGAAAATAATAATAATAATAATAATTTCTTGGAAAACCTCTGGTACCGAAGCCTCAAATAATATCGAGGATATTGCTTGAAGGTATAAAAAGACTCCGTTTCACTGAAGCTGATGGGGGTCAGACCGCTGCATACAAACGAAATCAAGCCAGGGCGATACAAGGCAAGAGAAGCTGCAAATCGCAGGGCACCTTAGACGGAATTGAGCAGCGATGTCTCAAGGAATCGAACGAGATCTATCCAGCTTAGTCTCGATAACATTCGACCTGGTCTGATTTATAGCAACCCTTTTTTTTTGTGAAGGATGTGCAGCTCGCTAAAGAAACGCTTGAACAAAGAATAGGGCGTCGGTCGGGGTTAGCAAAGCGCAGTGGTAACAAACACGCGGAAAGAATGGAAGTTTTGTGAAAGGAATCTTAAAGCTGATTTCAGCGGTAGATGGTAGACGGCAAGGGGATGTAATCACACCACGAGGTAAATAGTGGGAAATTATGATTGCAATGGCTACTGCATATCCCGGTTGATTCTCCTGTTCCCAGCAAAGGTGTCGCGAGAATCTGCGATGGAGGTGGAATTGCACAGGGTGTAATAATAAGGACAAGATGGGAGTGCGGAGTTATCGCGGTGGCAAGTAATCTTATCACGTGATTATTTGCAAGTCCATAGTTTTTTGGGGGCGTAGCTAGATACTGGTTGGGTAAATTTCGTGATTTGGAAAAGCATGAATACAACTGCGCTTGAAGGTAAAAACACACAGTACCGGTATGCGTCTTATACTATAGCCAGGAGGGATACCATGCATAAAGCTTGTTTTCTAGAATAATTCTTTCCCAGTACAAACGACCGATATCGCTCCGGAGTCTGGCCTGCTCTCCGCTCGGGCACGTAGTTTATACAACGTAGAATACATGGACGGCACACGATCTCTCCGCCTTGGGGAATTGGCGGCGGAAGGGGAAAAAAAAGAAAAGAAAAGAGCTGGCAGTTAACGTAAATCCCACCGAGCCGCACAGCCAGTATTCAATATAAACTGGCATTTTTTAACCTTGAATATCTCAACAACCGACTTTTTAATAGATACTGGAACTAATACATACATTATAAATATTATGAAGATTAGTATATAATAATATAAACTTCTAAAATTAGGTATTTCTCTAAGTCATATAAAATACAGCTGTATTTTTGGTATTTTATATAATAAAGACATTAAGAGATAATAAAATAGTTTTAGAAATCCAAAGGTAAATATATATATATATATAGATATATATATATAATTTAAAGCTATAGATTATATTCATATTAATCTTAAGGCCCTATATTAAGTAGTTGTTAAAATATTCAAGATTTAAAAAGGGCTATTTCTGTGGAATACAAGCTGCGCGGCTCGGGTGGGATTGACGTTAGTTAGTTAGTAGGTAGGTAGGTATGAGTCAGCCCTTCCTTCCCACTAAGTGGGGTTGATTGGGAAGACATAGTTTATCGAGTTACAAAACTCGGGACTACCAAGTCATTGGGATCTGATTCTGCATTCAGCTGTTCCCATATTGATACTCCCTAGGCGGTGGGAATCGGCGTTTGCCAAAATGCCTACTGTTCATCTTCTCGACTATGTCGCTGGAAACGTGCGGTCTTTGGTGAATGCCATCAACCAGGTTGGTTATGAAGTTGAATGGGTGAGATCGCCTGGTGACTTGAAAAATGTCGAGGTAAGGGGAAATTTCACCCTGTTGTATGTACTTTTTTTTTTGGTACATGCGTCGCTAACGCGGAGACCATAGAAGCTCATCCTTCCCGGCGTCGGCCACTTCGGCCATTGTCTTACCCAGCTGTCAAACGGTGGTTACTTGCAGCCGATCAAAGAACATATAGCTTCCGGGAAACCTTTTATGGGTATATGTGTTGGTTTACAGGCCCTTTTTGAGGGCTCCGAGGAGGACTCCAACGTTGCTGGCCTTGGTTTAATTCCGATGCGCATGCACAAGTTCAAAACTAAAACAAAGAGTGTTCCTCATATCGGCTGGAACTCGGCGACGAATACCCATCTCGGCACCTCTGGGGGGCAAAGCTTTTATGGATTGAGACCAAATAGCAAATACTACTATGTGCACTCATATGCTGCGCTCTATGAGCCAGATGTTCTCGAGCAAGATGGTTGGCTAGTTGCCACAGCGAGCTATGGAGAGGAGAAATTTATTGGCGCCATAGCACGAGACAATATCTTTGCGACACAGTTCCACCCCGAGAAGAGTGGCCAAGCAGGCTTGCGCACACTTCGCGCTTTCTTAGATGGTACCAAGATTCACCGTTCCGCGCCGGAAGAATTAAGGTTGGCGGAAAGTAAGAACGGCCTTACCCGCAGAATTATCGCCTGCCTTGATGTGCGCACGAATGACATTGGTGACCTTGTTGTAACCAAGGGCGATCAATATGATGTACGGGAAAAGAATGATGCGGATGCAGGAGGACAAGTGCGAAATCTCGGGAAGCCAGTTGATATGGCAAAAAAATATTACGAGCAAGGGGCAGATGAGGTGACGTTTCTGAATATTACTTCATTCCGAAACTGTCCAGTTGCTGATCTCCCTATGCTCGAAATTCTCAGGAGGACTTCAGAGACTGTCTTTGTGCCCTTGACTATTGGCGGTGGTATCAGAGATACCGTGGATACAGACGGTACTCACATCTCAGCTCTAGACGTGGCAACAATGTACTTCAAGTCCGGGGCTGATAAAGTCAGTATTGGTTCAGATGCCGTTACTGCCGCCGAGGAGTTTTATGAAGCCGGCAAAGTGCTCTCTGGGAGTACGGCCATAGAAGCAATTTCAAAGGCATACGGAAACCAGGCCGTCGTTGTAAGCGTCGACCCAAAGCGCGTATATGTGGGCAGGCCAGAAGATACACAACACCATACCATAGAAACGAAGTACCCTGATTCCACTGGTCAGACCTTCTGTTGGTATCAATGTACGATCAAGGGTGGGAGAGAGACTCGGGATATAGATGTCTGCCAGCTGGTGCAAGCCGTCGAAGCGATGGGCGCGGGGGAGATTCTACTTAACTGCATCGACAAAGATGGAAGCAACAGTGGGTTTGATCTAGAACTGATCAATCACGTCAAGTCCGCAATAACTATACCTGTGATTGCTTCCAGCGGAGCTGGTATGCCGGAACATTTTGAAGAAGTCTTCGATCAAACAACAACTGATGCCGCTCTCGGCGCTGGAATGGTACGTATACTTCTGTCGCACCCCTGTTCACGAGAAAAAATATTGACCAGAACACAGTTCCATCGTGGTGAATATACTGTTGATGAGGTTAAGCATTACCTTGATACTAAAGGTTTCCTTGTTCGAAGGTTTGAGCCTAACATTTAGATAAAGGTGGGTAAGAAAGGCCATGCATATTTTACTGTCGTACCAATTAGAGCTTTAGTGGAATGAGTTTCAAGAAATAAAATTAGATATAGGCATGGTATATGTATGGCGAAGGAGTCGGGTAGATACTGGGGTGCACCATGCCTTTTAAACCAATTCATTGCTTTCATGCTCTTCTCTAAAAAGAAATAGAATAAAGAATAAAGAATAGAAAAGAAAAGGGGAAAGGGGAAAAGACAAATACAGAATCACTTTCGTCGCAGTATAAATTTGTATTCTTAAGGAGTTGTCTCCGAGGCTTATTTTACTTTCGTTGAAACATGCATCCCTCAACTGATGTCAAGCTGTGCGTCCAGGGGAGGGGAGAAAAAAAAAAAAAAAAAAAAAAAAAAAAAAAAATTCGTGCATCTTGGACTTGCAGCAACCAAACGCCGTGGGATTACCCTGAGTCCAGGCATTTGATGTGTGGGATGGCAACAGGCTTTGTAGTTGTTCATCTTTGGTCTGGCCCTTCAAGGTAGATAAGACCATTTCGAGGCTACAAAATGTTAGCATCTCCAAATAGCAGACGATTGACCGAAACCCTACAGGAGAAAATTGTCGCAGGCGTATTCCAGCTGCGTCAAGAATTTCGGCGCTCTGGTTCTTGTCAGATCAAATTCTGAAGCAGGATAAGGCCTACACACATTACGGTCCATATTATAGCCTTGCGAATAGACTACCTCTGAAATCCCTACTTGCGCAATTTTCACGGTGCATGTCAAACACGGACAGCTTTGGGAAAAGGACCTGAGTTAGCGGAATCGGTCGAAATGCGGGGAAGGAGTTCGCCTACGTATCGCAATATAATATTGCGCCTTCTCGAATGCGGTCTCTTCCGGCCTCTAATAGAGCGTTTTCCTCGGCATGTAGACAAAGACATGTGGACAAACCAACTCCTCCTCCTTCCCCACGATTGCACCTTGGGCCTGGGAGTATGTAAGTAAAAGCACATATACCGCTATTTTAAGGCTCCCTACATCCTCCCTCGTTACAGTTCTTGAGGTGCCTTGGGGTTCCATTGTAACCAGTACTGATGACGCGACGTTCTCTAACAAGAACGCAGCCCACTCGCCTTTTCATGCAGTTACTTCGCTGCGCAGCGAGTGATGCCAATTCCATAAAATACTGATCCCAGTTTGGCCGTAGACGTTGCTCATCAGCTAGGTTGAGTGCCTTTAGAGCAGCATGCAGTTCGTCCAATGAGGGGGACGAATTGAACAGCCGGACTTGCGCTCGGTCGGTGACCAAGGCATGGCCAACGCTCTTTTTGTACAGCTGCTTATCGTTCCAAAGAACAAACTCTTCTAGGTGAGGGGGTTCAAGCCGCCTTCTTCGACACCTGAAGTATGGATTAGCAAATTTTCTGGAAATCGCAGTACAATTTCAGTGGCTAACCTGTCCGCGAAACGCTTCCATCGCAAACTGACTGGGGCATCAACGCTTACCAGAAGGAAAAAGGGGCGTTGCATAAAGCGGTCTAGAGTAGAGGTATCCCAGATGTGGGTAGTAACCCAGTGTTCTTGCCATCTTTTTGTTGCAAATTCGAGAAGCGACCCCGTTGTTTCAAACTGCAATGGCGTATCCTGGTCAAGAGCATCGTCCGTTAAGCCAAAGGCTTGTAATCGAGGATCATCTACAGCCTGTGAGGGAGGGCCTGATTTCACTTCAAGACGTCGAAAATTTTGATGTTGGGTCAGATACTCTGCCACAGCATTCTTCCCGGAACAGATGCCTGGAATACGTTATGTCAATTGTTTAGGAGGTAGCGCCCACAAACTAGGGCACTTTTTTAGGTAATGGACTGACCTCCGCATAGACCAATTAGCATTGTTCCTCTGGTATCCTGCGAAAGTACCAAGACAGTGAAATGGCGGAGAGAAATGTCGATTTATGGAGATGGGGGGAATGGGCCCTTCTTAGTTCCATGCCCGGGCATGAACGCTTGGCAATTTTTTCTTTTTTTAAAAAAAATAAAAATAAAAATAAAAATAACAATAAAAGAGCAAAGACAAAGGGCAACCTGAAATGACAAAAATACTTATAAGAGGGAAACATAGCAACCAAATAGTAAATACCAGGCCCTCCAAAAAGACACTAAGCGGATATTATTGATCAGGATAGATTAGGTATCTACTTCCTTACAAATTTCTCTGGGTTATAACTGTCCGGCACTATGTACTATGAAGACTTGAAGCTCGCAGAGCCTTGGTTTCTCCCTGGCAGGCTGACACCTCACTAGATAAGTTCATTATCAGCGTATCAAATGCATACCACGGTATGAGTTACAATGGCAGGATTAATAAGTACAGAGTAATTTGGCTTGCACCGTCGCAAATTTTTGTTCTAGGACTTTACAACTTATTCTTGCACTGAGCCTTGTGGGGTGAGGAATATTTCGCTTTTTACATTAATATGAGGTTGTACTGCGAATGTTTAGGCCAACGAATGCATACTTTGAGGCTGTCTGCCATCCTATTTAGGATCCGAGACAGACCGCGCTAATGTCCTAAAGGATGCGCGTCTCAAGAGTCTCATGACGTAACTTCCGAGGAACAACCAACGTATGTTGCCAACTTCCAGGTCACACGATGCAACAGCCCAGCTGAAATATCCCATCCAATACCAGTCGATCGGGTGAGTCAAAAAGCTGCTACAAATCGAGATTATCCAGAATATCCGTTGAGAGTATCCGTATATTGGGACCGTCTAACCTGTGCCTCACCAGCCCGAATACCACACCATCTACCCATCATCTGTTTATACCTTGTTTGACCCTAACCAACGGCCGCCACAGCCAGCCAGCCATACATAACACAACCATACTGTAGCTACAGTGATAGCCAAGGCGTCCAACCTTCATCAACAGCAACGATGCAATACACTCCTTTTGCTTCGGATATTGAGCTTCCATTTTACACTGCACTAGCATCACATAAGATCAACCATGACAAACTGGATGACTCTGCTCGCAAAGTCCTTGGGCTGTATGAGATACGCCCCGCAGAGGCTCCAAATGCCTCATGCAGAATGCAAATACATGGGAACGCCCTCACAAATAATGAGTGAGCGCCAAGTTGTTCAATATAGCGTACGAGTTAGGCACATTTCTAACTAGTTACAACACAGTGTGCCACCTAGCTATTACCGAGCAGAAGGTATCATAAAGAACGTTAATACCGTCGAGGAGTATGCAAATATCGACAAGATAGGAATGCTCCGGCAGTCTGGGAAAACGGTCAGTTAAGCCACAGTTACCGTTTTATCAAGGCAGTAATAACATCATGGCACCAGATATGGGATGCCATCGACGACGGCACAATCTATTCATGTCCCTCTCTGTTGTCCTCTTTCATCGTTATCTCCTACGCTGATCTCAAAAAATATAAGTTTCATTATTGGTTTGCATTCCCAGCTCTTCATTCTGATCCCTCTTGGATCCCTCTGGAGGACAGAAATGTGAAGACCGGCCTGAAATCCGCGGAATCACGAGGTACAGCAACAGAATTGCCCAGTACAGAAAACTCAACACTCGCCGAAGCAGTGCAAGAGTGGGCGCGCGGTGTAGATTCTCGACAACGAGGTTTTTTCCTGGCGCAGAGGATTAGAGCACACGAAGGCCATCCCGTTTCCTGGAGGATCGCACCTCTCTCAAGCTACGAGGATGGATTTTTTGAGAGCGCCGAATTTGAGGATTGTTTCACCTGTTTTGCCGATCCCTCGAATTACGAAGAATCACCTGGTTGGATGCTACGAAATCTGCTTATCCTTGTGAGACGACGGTGGGGACTTACGAAGGCGCAGATATTACGATATCGCCATGGATCATCTCAACGTGACCGGGGCCGCAGCATTGTGATAACACTGGGGATGAAGGAATCATCACTGGTCGGGTCGCCGGCTAATGACAATGAAATGCCTAAGGTAACTGGATGGGAGCGTAATCCGGCAGGGAAACTGGCAGGAAGGATTGTTGATCTCACGGAATATTTGGATCCTAAGAGGTACAGTAACATTGAAACAAATGTATTTGTACAAGCGCTGATTCTCCTTCTTTTACGAAGGCTTGCTGATCAATCTGTTGACCTCAATCTCAAACTTATGAAATGGCGAATCAGCCCAAACCTTGACCTCGAAAAAATCAAAGGTACCAAATGCCTTCTGCTTGGTGCAGGGACTCTTGGGAGCTATGTTGCAAGAAATTTAATGGTTTGAGTCCCCAGTCTACAGATACGCGGTATATTGCTAACATTGTTAGGCTTGGGGAGTAAGGAAGATAACATTTATAGATAATGGAACAGTGTCATTCTCGAATCCAGTGCGGCAGCCACTCTTCAATTTTGCGGACTGTTTGGATGGCGGCTCAAAAAAAGCGTATCGAGCCTCCCAATCTCTGTCAGAGATATACCCGGGCGTCGACTCTGTTGGCCATGTACTAGCTGTTCCTATGGCGGGCCACCCGGTATTAGATACAGAGAAGACGCGAAAGGATTTCGAGGTCTTAAAAAAACTCATAAACGACCATGACGCGATTTTCCTCTTGATGGACACGCGGGAATCGCGGTGGCTACCAACGGTAATGGGGAAAGCAGCGGGCAAAATAGTTATGAATGCAGCATTAGGATTTGACACCTTTGTGGCAATGCGCCACGGCGTTGCAAATGGCGAAAAGCCGGAGGAAGAGCTCGGGTGCTATTTCTGCAATGATGTCGTTGCGCCCATAAATGTGAGTCATTGCTCGAAATAAGCCGGCACCCTGGCTAAAGCATAATGCAGTCCCAAAAAGACCAGACACTGGACCAGCAGTGCACTGTTACACGACCCGGAATAGCTGCCATAGCATCGGCTCACCTGGTTGAGTTACTAGTCTCGCTTCTTCAACATCCGCTAGGGGCTGCCGCAGAAGCTCCCCAACCCCAGAATGATAGGAATGACCACCCTCTCGGCCTTGTCCCGCATCAAATCAGAGGATTCCTATCGAGGTTTGAGAATATCTCTATTGTAGGCCGAAGCTACAAGTATTGCAGCGCATGTTCTGAACCCATCATAAATGAGTACGAAAAAAGAGGTTGGGATTTCGTGCAAAGAGCATTAAATGAAGATGGTTATGTTGAAGAGCTGAGTGGCCTTAAAGAAGTTGGTTATTCCTCTTTTGCTGCCGTACGGGTTGCTGATTCTTGTAAAGGTTCAAAAGACAGCAGAAGCAACACTAGACGACATCGAATGGGACGATGATTCAGAACTGGAAGAAATAGCAGCACCAGGCGGGGACTAATCGGGTATGAATTTGTTGTGACCCTCTGCATCTTGGTGTGTCTCAGGGCCCCGGGGGGGGGGGGGCCTGTCAACGGATTCAACGTCCCTTAGGGGGGCGTGAGAACTTCTTGCTTTTTTGCATCGGGTCTACGTTTGAGACCAATGAAGTATGCCTCTTTGGATTCCTGCTAGCCATTTTAGTTGGGTCACACCCTAGTACATTCGGATAAACACGTTCCATACACTGCGTGATGATTCTGGTTTGAGCCTATGCACTTTTTGAAACAAGGTTCTCAGCTGCTTCTCCAGGTCTTTATCTTCAGTTCCTTGGTAATACTTGCAGACAAAGTGTCCACCAGCATTCAGAACCTCATAACTGAACTCTAAGGCGGCACGACAGAGGTCCTTACACGTGTCAATATATCATAAAATGATCTCCGGATGAGAAGAGAAACTCACCATACTGCCCACGTGATCCTTGAAGGGTAACCCGCTAGTGTTCATCATCCTGTTATATGGATTACTTAGACTTCTTTTCCAAAATCCAGTTGTTTGATACCAGGGAGCGGACATATCGCTTAGAACCACATCTACCGTTCTCTGGGGATCTGAATACCCATCGCCGATGTCTTTGTTTCTCAGTGTACCACTAGTAGGTCCTGCCTCCAGCGCAGACTCCACTGATCCCTCGGCGTTGTCAACATCTTGAACTGCTTCTTGAGAGTAATGTCTGCCTCTCCGAGGATTGCGCACAAATTCTCGCACATAGGCTTGGACCTCTGGGTCTAGGAAGTTGCCTTGGATGGTAGACACACCCTTTGGTGGTTGGCTTGGGATTATATCGACACCAAGAACCCTGCCTCGGGGCTGGGTTCGTGTCAGTGCCACCTATAGAAAAAGTCAATCAAAGTTCAACCTTTCAGGGGGGAATGTTGCTACACATACTTGTGACCATGACCCCGGAGCATAGCCCTAATCATCGGAAAATCCGTCGTTAAATCGAGCCATTGTTCATATTGATTTCGAAAGGAAGCATACTAAATCGACAACAGTTTGGCCACTTTGGAAAAGGTGGTACTTTTCATCTATCTGTGAACAAAAGACCAATTAGTAATGATTAATGTATATAATAATATCAGATAATATGGTCCCTTGAGTACCTGTAGAAGCTTGAACGCTGCTCGACTTTTGAGCCCTTGAACTGCTGCCTCCCGCGTAAAATGATCTTTGAGTTGACGCGCTTGCCACCGTTTAGAGGACGAAAGCCGGTTTGGTAGAAATTGCTGGATACTGAAGATAGTTTTTGTACAGTCGCGGAACCCTGCAGGTAGTAACAAAACCATTGCCAACGATGTGGTATAGCGGCGTACAATGAATGACATGCAGATAAACCGGACTCGATTGTTGCTGGGTTCTGGCGTGGTTTCGGCGACAAGTCTTGGCGTTCACCTGCACGGTACTACATAGTACGTAGTTGGCCAGTAAAAGTGGAATTTCCAAGCCTTCGACCGTCAGGGATCGTGTGCGCCATTGTGGATACAAATAAATATAAATACCTCCTTCGAAGTCCAGCGTCCAGGTTCCAGCCTCCAGCCTGGCCTAATATATTGGGTGTTGGATGGAAAGGGGTAGAGCACAAAGAAGAATGTCTAAAAGTTGCGAGCAAGTGCTGTTCACCTTCTACACTATACATTATGGATATACCACTGACATAAGTAGTTTAGAATCGTTTTTTATCTCGCTTCAAAGGTGAGAATCCCACAGGTCCAGCGAACACGCGGTTTCCAGCTAAGCCTGTGTATCCCGTGCCAACAAGCTTTCTTCCAGGTTTCTTGGTCTCAGACGTATTATCATCCTCGTCTTCATCAAATATGCTTCTATCGCGTTGCACTCCTAGCTTTCGTTTCTTCGACACCGCTTGCTTTTGACCAACCGGCCGAGATAGTGGAGCCTGGTAACCCCCATTAGGACTATCTGATGTCATCTGGTTTCTCGTATCGCCTTCCAATGTAGCCTTTGTAGGCGCTTGCTTTCTGGGATTATGGGGCTGTCTCGCATCCGCTAGCTTTTGTTTCGGGAGTGCGGTCATTGCATTAGCAATGTGTTGGCTGTGCCTGGAAGAGTCAGACGGTTTATCGAAATGAACAAAGCTATTAGCTTCATTCAGTTCATCCTCTGAGCCGGTTGAAGATTCATCAAATCCAGTTGTGCGGTTTAGGAAAGGCGTTATTGAAAAGGAGGACTTGTCACCAGGCAACGTAGAAAATTTCCTCTGCTGATCCCGTGCACGAACAGCCCCAGGGGTTGCAATTACCAGGTCTGGGTGCAAGTGACTTGAAATTTTTTGGAGCCCAGATTCACTAGGTCTTTCAGTTGGAACTTTGGTTGTTGTGCTACCCCGAGCGGCCGCTTGTTGGTGAACTGGGGTGTCTTCTTGGTCGCGGTCTTTCGCGATCCCAAATCCCTTATTAGTACCTCCATTCCTACCTGCAAGTGGTGCTTGAGGAGATCGCGTTGAATGGCGCTTCTGATTGGCGTTATCTTTGTTTTGGCGGCGCTCCAATTCTAGTTCTTGTCGTGCTTCTTCAAGTTTGGAACCAATCCATGAAATTTCCTCGGTCTGCTGCAATTGTTTGGCTAGGGTACGCTCATGTGCACGTTTCTCATCCTCAAGCTGTATCTCAAGGGCATTTAATTGTCGAGTAGCGGCCTGTTTTTCTGCAAGAAGAGTATTGGCGGAAGTATTATGAGACCTCAGTTTCTCAAGCTCGGACTGAATGTTGGACACTTCTTTTGATAGGCGAACTTTTTCTGCTTGCAATTTCTGGGAATCACAAGCAACTGTGTTCGATAATGCAAGCTCATGCTAGAAACAATGTTAGATGTCAGGTTATCCCGGAGGAATACATGTGCCACATACGCGAAGATTTTCTATTTCGCGTATTGATGCCTGGGAGATATCCTGTAGAGAGTCAAGTTCTCTCATAGCACTATCAAGACGGAGACGCGTGTAAGATTCTGCCTCTCTAGTCTGAATTAATTCTTTTTCTGTCTGATGTACTTGCAGTTGCAAGCTTTCGTTTTCAATGCGAAGAAGTAGTTGCTCTATGCAATGTACTCGGTCACGCTCAGTATTTAAAAGCCGCGATGTGTGTGCTTGAATTTGGTTATACTCGTTTTCAAATCCTGCTGTTGTAAGGGCCATTTGATACTGTGGATTCTGTCAGCCTGTGTGGTATTTATGTGGTTGACACATACATCATCTTTGACTGCATATTCTGGTTCATATGTGAAGGGGTTCATCCTAGGCTGTTGGATATATTTGCCTCTCAGCACTGGAACAAGGACATGTATGCCAGGGCATTAATAAATCTAGAGAGCGCAGGAGATACCAACGTAACTCAACTAGGACAAAACGAGACTAGACCGGTAAACAGAGATCAACCAATGCAGGGCCAAACGATGGAAGGGAAAAGCCCCAGTAGACCCGCCGAGTACGTAGTGGACACCTATCAGGACTACACCAGTGTATCCGTAACTTTCCCGATATCACACCAGGACGCCTTGCGCCAAACATTCAACTCTTTCAGATGCGCATTGTCTAATTGATTGCAGGTTATCTACTTGCTCTATATGTACCATAGGGCTCGCCAATAAGAATATCGTGTTATCCTGTGTCAATATGAAACTCTTCGCCTTCATTGCCTCTTCCCTCCTTTACCTTATTCCCGTTGCACTCTCGGTCTCGTCAAAGCCCGACAAGTTCGAACAATATCAGTCGGTTTCTCGCGTCGCGCCCATCCAACTTGATGACTTGTCGTATGACGATATCACTTCGAAACCTCGCGATTATCATGCAGTGGTTATCCTGACAGCCATGGAAGCCCGTTTTGGGTGTGTGCTTTGCCGCGATTTCCAGCCTGAATTCGATCTTATTGCGCGAAGTTGGAACAAAGGCAGCAAGCCTGACGACCTCAAGCTACTATTCGGCACCCTTGATTTCAATAATGGCAAAGCGACCTTCCAAAGAGTATGAAGTAGGAAGCTCTACATGTCCCCCTGCTAACGTAGAAACAGCTCATGCTTCAAACCGCGCCCGTCCTCCTTGTCTTTCCTCCTACTGTCGGGCCTTATGCCAAAGTTGATGATAGCCCACTACGCTTTGACTTTAGCGGGTATGACTATTTCATTTATGTCGCGCACGTTCACAAAAACATTCGACTGACAGCCACTGTTTTCCTAGTCCCGTTTCCGGCGACCAGATTTATGCTTGGATCAACCGCCATCTCCCCGATGGGCCAAAACCGCCACTTGTCCGCCCGATCAATTACATGAGGATTGCCTCCGGAATCACAGTTCTGATGGGGGCCGTGACCTTGTTTACCGTGCTGTCGCCTTATATTCTTCCAATTGTAAGAAATCGGAATCTGTGGGCTGCATTCAGCCTGATTGCCATCCTTTTATTCACCAGTGGCCACATGTTCAATCACATCCGCAAAGTCCCATATGTTGTCGGAGATGGAAGAGGTGGTATCAGCTATTTTGCCGGTGGATTTTCAAATCAATTTGGAATGGAAACCCAAATTGTTGCCGCTATATGTAAGCCACATCTTCCGCTTCTCTATACCCGTTCCCTTCTGGCCCAAAAGCAAATGAACTAATACGTATTAAGACGCTGTGCTCGCTTTTTCAACAATAGCGTTGGCTATGAAGGCCCCCCGAATTGTGGACCACAAGTCCCAGCAGGTTGCCGTTGTCATTTGGGGGGTTGTTTTACTTGGAACGTATAGTTTCCTTTTGAGTGTCTTCAGGGCGAAGAATGGGGGATATCCATTCTTTCTCCCACCTTTCTAGGTATTTTGGCGAAACCACATCCTCATTTCGGCGTAGATCACAACTGCTAAGAAAATTATGGGATGCGCCGAAAATAGAAGACCAACGGCAAAACATCTTCATAATTTCCGGTGTTCCAGGACCATAGCAAGTCGATTGCACCCCTGCCTGGCAGCGCCTTCAACGTCGAACGCTGTCTGGGACTCAACGCCAGTATGACCCAACCCGTTAAATAAAACAAGACCCTCGACACCTGCACTAGGTACTCCTAATAGGTATCATTATTGGGGTCACGGGTGTACCAGGCAGATGATGAGAAAGTGAAAGTACAAATTGTGATGTGTTGTCATGGATAAATCCCTATTATGCTACAACTGAGGCTCCTAAATAAAAATGGCGATAGAAGCTAGAGAAAAAAATGTTTTTGGAAAAGAGTTATTCATAGTCACTATATCTAAGTATTGTTGGGTAGGCAGTACGTACAGGGTACCTAGTGTGGTCTCGAGGCCCACCAATTCGGGCATGTTCTTGTCGCAGCTGGGGCCCGGTTTCCGCCGACCTTCAAGTCACTTTGTCTTCCGGCACAAAACCAAAACATATATTGCCTCCTCCAAAATAGTGACTCAGGTAGAGGTCTGACTTTGGCGACACGTCAGCCTCGCCCAGTATGTCGCTGCCAGATAAAAATGCCAGCGGTATCCTGACCTCTGCAATCACGGGGACAACTATGTTAATAGTCGTACAGTTGGTCTCCAGGTTCTTCATTTTTGCCGCGAATCAGATGATTCTGAGAAATTTATCACCGTCCATTTTGGGGATCTCTGCGCAACTTGATTTGTTCTTGAGTTCAATTCTGTACTTCTCCAGGGAAAGCATTCGATCAGCAGCCCAAAGGCAGCCGTTGCCTCCTGGATATTCTACCGCAGCAGATAAAAATGGGATCTCTTTGAGAAAGGATCGAGCCAGAAAGAAAGCCCAGGCAGTTTCCTCTCAATCCATAGTGAACATGGCCTACCTGGGTATTGGCATGGGCATTGTTACAGCTACGATGTTCTCAGCATTTTACTTGTACGTCGCCTCCCTTGAGGTCTCGGAAATGCCATACTACCATATGAGTGTGGCAGTCACAGCTATTGCATCAGTGATTGAGCTTGGTTCAGAGCCCTTTTTTGTGGTGATACAGCAGCACATGCTATACAGCAAGCGAGCAGCTGTTGAAATATGCGCCGCGTTTTTCAAAAGCCTGGTGACATGTGGAATATCCATATGGGGTGTAAAATCTGGTTACAGTCTTGGCCCCCTGCCTTTTGCACTTGGGTACCTATCCTATGCACTAGCAGCTTTTTGTGGCTATTTTCTAGTTGCAGTACAACAGTCTAGCAATTGGCAATTTTCATTTTTTCCCTCCCGAATAGGGCCAAGGTAGGATATCAGGACCCTAATCCTATGGTTGTACTGGGGCAGAAAGTAACAGTCCTAGTGATGACTCGACATACCTCTGTGGTATATTTCCATGGCGCTTGATAACCTTGTCCGCGAACGTTTTCCTCCAATCCGTAATAAAACACTTGCTAACGCAGGGAGATTCGATGATTCTTGCCGCCATGACAAGTTTACAAGAACAGGGAATATACTCGCTAGCTTCCAATTACGGTGGCCTACTAGCCCGTGTCTTATTCCAACCTATTGAAGAGAGCAGTAGGGCAATCTTCTCGTCACTCCTCAACAGCAAAGCAGGCAATGGGCAGGAAGGCAGCATTAAAACTGCCAAGGCACATTTGCTGAGTGTAGCGAGAGGATACATGATGATAACAGTCTTGGTAATTCCCCTAGGCCCAGCTTTTGCTCCAAAGTTACTTCATATATTGGGTGGGCGGCGATGGATTGTCGCCGAAGTTGATGACTTATTCGCCCTCTATTGCTATTACATACCTTTCCTGGCTTTTAACGGCATCGGTGAGGCATTTGTCTCTTCCACTGCGAAGCCATCTGAACTCCGAAAGCAATCCGCATTCATGGCACTGTTTTCGGCATGCTTTGCCCTAGCAGCCTATCTTTTTTTGTCAATGGGCGGACTGGGAGCCCGTGGACTGGTTTATGCCAACATCGTGAATATGTGTGTGAGGATAATCTGGAGCTTCTCCTTCATCCGAAAACATCTACGGCAGTACAATATGGACATTTTTTTGGTTGAGTTTGCACCACGGGTGCCCACCAATGTTGCTGGAGCCATTGTGGCCATCCTGTTATCCAATACGGTACTTGGAGAAAATGTGCTTGGAGAGTTGATTTCACTCGCTCTTGGCGTGTTTTACGTCCTTCTAGTGTATGTGAACCAGCATGTAGGGCTGATAAGTGCTAATATGATATACCTGCAGGCTGTATTTTGAGAGAGACTACGTCATGTTTTATTACGCCAAAGTCCATCAAATTCTGGAGCGCAAAGGAATGAGGTCTAAAATAAAACAAGTCAAGGCAGATTAAGTCAATCATCAAATACAATCTTTGTAGCCGCCTTTCCCGGCTCGACATCCTTGAAAAAAGCACCGTACGCGTCATGCTGCTTCTTTTTCACAGTCGACCCAAACCTAAGTAAAGCCTCGGGTACATCCTGGTTTGCCGCTTTCAAGACATTGATCAACCTACGATATATCAGTAAAACATATAGAAAGATCCGGGGGACACGCCAAGTAGATCGGCAGAGGTAGGATGCTACTTACCCACCAGATTGAGCCTTGTCGGTTTCCGTGAACAGAGTTATAGCATGCCCATCGGCACCAGCACGACCGGTCCTAACGGGAAAGGATGTCAGTTGAAAGCTAATACAATGAAGAAATGTTTTCGACCTTACCGGCCAATTCGGTGCACATAATCTTCGACAGTGAGCGGAAACGTAACATTTACGACCAGCTTTACATCAGGTATATCGAGACCACGAGCCGCCACATCGGTTGCAACTAGGACAGTCGCTGTGCCTGATTTGAAGGCCTCGAGACTTTTGAACCTCTCTTGCTGGCCCAAGTCACCATGAATACCCGCAACTTTGAAGCCCTTCGTCCGTAGGAGTCTCTCAACACGCACTGCTTCCTTCTTGTATAGGCAAAATGCCAGCACCTTGTCTGGAGTTCCTCGTTGGTGCTTGTTGAGAATTTGTACGAGTCTCTGCTCTTTTTCAAGAGGCTTTACCACCTCAACAACCTGCTTGATCCTAGTGTTTGCACGTGGGTCCGCGGACGGGTCACCACCGATAGTGACGGTAACCGGGGACGCCATGAAGGTTGACGCAAGCTCTCTGACGGCAGGCGGCCATGTGGCCGTGAACATAACGGTTTGACGTTTGGAGACTGGCATGTCAGAAATTATGTCCTTGATATCTTGCTCAAATCCCTTGTCCAGCATACGATCTGCTTCGTCCAAAACAAGATACTTAACCCCGCCAAGGTCCAATGAGCCATCGTTTTGGAGGTCCTTCAATCTCCCCGGGGTCGCAACAACGACGGCAGCAGACTTCAGAGTCTCACGCTGCTCGTCTTTCCTAACCCCACCGAATATACAGGCTACCTCGACATCCACTTTCCCTGCGAATTTCAGAAGTTGGTCATTAATCTGCATTGCGAGCTCCCTCGTCGGAGAAATTATCACTGCAATCGGTCGGCACGGTTTCTGTTTGCTCTTCTTCAAGTCGAGTACCTTCTTCAAGCACGGTAAGCCGAAGGCTAAGGTCTTCCCACTTCCGGTTTCGGCGATCCCAATTACATCGCGGCCTGAGAACAGAAGTGGCCATGTTGTAGATTGAATCGTGGTAGGGCTGTTGAAGCCGTCCAGAGGAGCGTAAAGCTGTCCATTGCTTTGTGGCAGAAATGAGAATGAAGTTATTGGGCGCAATGGTGTACTATCCAGTGAGGAGTCCGTTATCTTGATCGAATTGTCAGAAAAGTATTGGTCGATTTCTGATTGTGGGACATTATCAAGAGCTGGTGATTGGGAGTATGGTAGCGAAGCATCAGCACCTTGCTTGGTATGCTTTGCACTTTTGGGTTTTTTGTTTGGTCTGGAATCCCCAGTATGGCTTTTATGTTCACGTTTTGCCATAGCTGAATTTTTTAATTGGGGTGAGGAACATGCAGCCGCATTGCGAAAGGCCGGGCTCTGTCCAAGTTCTTTTTTTTTTTTTTTTTTCCTTCAACTGATGTGGAGAAGGCGACTTCAGCCTCGACCAATTATAAGTGCGTTTAAAGCTTGGCAGGCACTGACTCTGATGTCGATACCTACCTAGTACGGTGCACGTCTGGAGGAGTTCGAAGACGAACCGAGAGATCCTACCTCCACTTCACCGCCCTCTTCCTCAAAACCTCAATCATTCATTGTCTTCCGACTGTTCCAGGATTTCCAAACATCACTCCTCAAACCGTCGTCCATACCCAGTTGAGCAGAATTTTTGGGCAGTCCACCAGCTTACCGGGAATAAGTCATTGTACTAGCTTCAAGCCTCCTGGTGAATGACCACGATGCACGAAGAGGAAACCACTTCTATCCAGATTTATAGCATACTGAATAACTCCTAAAGATTGACATTATTTGACATTACACTGTGGTCATCTTTTCACTACCCGCCTAAGATAGGCACCGGTCGCACAAGTCGATCATATACCCACTATCTTTCGCCTTCAATCGCCGCCTTGTCATTGTGCCCAACGCCGCGAAGATCGGCCCCTAAGCTCATACTTAGAGAAACTAATAAACGAGGATCTTATACACTATAAGCCACCACGCCACTAGCTTGAGCGGAAGGGAAACAGCACGACTCGCTAATCCCAAATCCAGGTTTCAACTAGGACAGATGGTAACTGTCGATCATATCAGCGAGACGTGACGCCTCCTCAGAGTAGTTGACGGGTCTTGCAAACGACACTTGATATCGAATACTAAGCGTCGTATTATTAGCACTAAAGTCAAATATCACCTTAGACGATACCACTCACCGTTGCTGATCCCCATAATGGTCTATTCTTGCCCTGCATCCAAAAGTCCACGTACGGCAATTGGCGTTTTGGATGATGTCACCAACTACTTTGTCGTCATTCTGTTGCATTTCCATTAGTTGATCTGCACTTGTATCCATCATTAGTCGGCCAACATCATCAAAACAGTTGAGATACAGCTGTCCAGTATGGTCGCTGACGTTAATAAGCATTATATATCGATATTCCGCTCGTGGGTGAGTCTTATCGCAGCGCTCACATCGCCACTGACCAGGATCAAGCTCTGTAACCTTCTTGTTGCAATCCTCTGAAAGACATGCTGGGTAACACAGGTTGTCCTGCTTTATGTAGACGACAGTGGCTCTGAGCGAAAAGTACGCCGGTTCCTCCGACATCCCAAGCTGTTCCTCTCGAATTTGTGCGATCGTCTTAAATTGGTCGCGTTTCATTCCGGACATCGCCCCAGCTGATGGGGCATGAGAGGCAAAACTTTCGTCCCTACCCTGCGCGTCATACCAGCCTTTTAGTCTATGGGCTTCTTCGATATCGGGGTCCACAGTCACAGAGCCCGAACTTAGTAAACTCAAACTCTTCCCGCCAAAGTCAGAAACCTTGACGCCCTTGAACGCCACCACAGATTCTGGTGTAGCGCCAAAGTTCATCGCCGTAGTGCCCCATATCGTCAGGCGGACCGAGAACCCTGTATTGTCAACCAAAGTAAGTTCACGTTTATCGTAGGGTTTCTTCGTTGTTTTTGACACGATTTGGGCGGTATCCCCAACATCTTTCAACACTCCTATCACATCGATTGTGGTATCTTTATCAACAGACTGCAGATCCCCAATATTGGTGAAGTTGAAGCGCACTTGTGGGACATCATTCTGGTCTTCTGCCTGCATAGATAGATATTCAGTAAGAAGAACAAGTGAAGTTTGAATTTAACTAACCTTCTCAACCAGGGTATCTCTCTCAAAGGTAAGCTCATAGTCATTATTAAGGTTTGTAAACTGCTTTTTAGCGATCTGAACACGGCATGGGCTAGATATGTAGTAAACGCCGCCTTCTTGAAACAGATCATACAGGGCAGTGCATTGCTCATTGAACCCAGTAGCGCGTATTTCGCCACTATCATCTAACAAATTGACACTGAAAAGCGTGCCATCGCCGCTTCTTCCATGCCAGTGCTTGACGGGAGATTTGCTAGTACATCGCGCTTTGATCGTCCATTTATTGGCATAGGGAGAGAGGGCCTCTATGGGGTAAATAGTTGCGGTTCCAGGACCCTGCATGGGACGCATTTGATGTGGTCGTGTGTTGACTTGCGAGGGGGCATTTTGGGATTTGGCACCGTAAAACCCGTTGCTCGATATTGCTGTAGACTGTTGTTTCTCCTCCTCCTCCAGTTTGCTCTCCAATGGTTTTGGCTCGCCGATTTTCTCCACTTCCCCTAATTCCTTGAGAACCTCGAGGTCAAGAATGATAAGGATTCTATGACAGTTAGTGGATAAGCTTTGTCCCAAAAACGAAACGTACTTTTTCCCCTTTACCGAGTTCGCCTGGAACTGCTTCAACTTCACAAAGCATCCTTTGCGAAGTAACCCATCGGTCACAAAATGATTCGCCTCTATATTCGGATAATTCGTTAGAAATATTCGCCACCCGGCAGTTCTCATCTGCTTTCTCAACATACGGATTGCAAGCATCGTCTGCACATAGTTGGATATATCGCTAAAAACAACCCTATAACGCTCTTGGTTGTTTGTCTGGGGTGGCAACGGCTTGACTTGGACACACTGGACGACAGGCTCATTAACCTGAGGTTTTGTGCCATCAAAGATCGCACTAAGAGGCCATTGTAAGCAATCCAATAGACAGCAGATAAATTGCGGAAGGGGAGTAAACTACCTAAGCGCTCCTACAGATATATGTGATGCTTGAGAAGCCATGGCAGTATCACACGTCTTTTGGTGAAAATTAGCTAGCTGCTGTACCCAAGGTGGTCGGTGGTCAAGCTGCGCGGGATAGACGCTATTGGGTGTAGAAACAACAGCTGAAGGAATTTTGGCTTAGAAATTCTGGTTTTCAACAATATTGAAGAATTGTTACGTCCACATGAGCCTGGTGAATCAAGCCTTGTTCAGGGTTGTGGAATTGGTTTGTTGTGAGAAAAATGAAACGCGGATGCAGGATGACGCGCCGGGCAAGACCAGACGCGTTAAGTGGAAGCCGAGCATTAGGTGGTGTCCAGGTAATACGTTGTTACCTAATGCAAGCCCACCCTATTAACTAACGCCAGCCAGTACCGTACACGGTATGGTAACCTTGGGCGGCGAGCCCCTCGATTTCCAATGATAGCCATGTTAACCTCTACCCCACCTGGTCATTTCACATCTTCACTACATACCGACGCACCTTGCCTGTGAAGCGTTCATTGAGGAGGTATCAACAATTTTACAGGATTTTTTTTTTTTTTTCCTTATTTTTCTTTTTTGTTCTTTTCGTTTGTTTCCTCTTTGTAACCTTGATACCCGCTATAAAGTCTCATTTTACCCTTCATCTACTCGTAAACGTATCCCATATTTCTTCCAGAATGACGACCTGCTTGCATATTAATTCACCAAGTGAGTCTAACTTTGGCTCTTCATGGCCATAAAGAGCTAAATATGTTTTGTGGCAGACCTGCAGTCGCCATCTGCCTTTCAGTCTGTATATCGAGAAGACTGCACGCAGTGTTTTGACTCTATTGTCTGTACTCCGTTTGCCCATTTCCCTCGCCTGTCTCTAACGAGTAACAGGATGATGAACATGGCCTCAACGTTTGCCTCTCCTGCTTCAATGGCGGTTGTGCTGGATCAAGGAACCACGCCCATCTGCACTTCGAGCGCTTCGGTCACCCTCTAGCACTGAATATCCAAAGGACTCCAAAAAAGGTCCAGGTAAGCTAGTTTGCCTGTGTTTACCCCTGTTATCCAAACCAATGTAGATGCTAACGGATAACAGCGAGATGAGCCTCCACAAAAGATTTCCAAGCTTGCAATCAATGCGGAGACAGACGAGGATCGCTATGATACACGTGCGCGTATCATCTGCTATTCTTGTGGGCAAGATAATGTTGACGCTCCGACCGAAGAAGTCCAATTGATCATCAGGGATGTGATGAATGCAACTACCTTTTCAAAAAAAGAGGAAATAAAGGCATGGGAGCAAGAGTTTACTCCTTGTGAGCACACAGTTGGTTTGATTCAGCAGAACCCCCAATCAATCGACTCACAAGGTAAGAATACTTCCTAGGTCCTTTGATCGTGCCTAACTCGTCTTCATTAGATCTTAGTCGGTGCTCGATGTGTGATTTGGAACAAAATCTCTGGCTCTGTTTACAATGCGGTAATCTGGGATGTGGCCGCAGCCAATTTGGGGGGACAGGAGGTAACTCACACGGGCTCGCACACTTCGATGCGACATCCCATGCTGTTGCCGTGAAACTAGGGTCTATAACTGCCGATGGCTCTGCGGATATTTACTGTTATAGGTGCAACGAAGAGAGAGTCGATCCTGAGCTTGCTACGCACCTGTCTCATTGGGGAATTAATATAGCCAGCCGCGAGAAAACAGAGAAGAGCCTCATGGAAATGCAGGTTGAGCAGAATCTAAAATGGGACTTTTCAATGACTACGGGAGATGGACTTGATCTCAATCCAGTCTTTGGGGCAGGTCTCACGGGCCTGTCAAACCTCGGGAACAGCTGCTACCTCTCTAGTGTTATCCAGTGCCTTTTTTCTCTGCCGGAGTTTCAACGCAGATATTATCATCCCGGTGATAAGCCACCTCTTTCTGAAACACCAGCTGCAGATTTCGAGACGCAGCTCCGGAAATTGGCAGACGGAATCATCTCCGGGCGATATTCCCGAGCAGATGAGAAGACTCTAGCTTCGGGCGAACCTCGCGAGGTCTTGCATCAAAAAGGGTTAGCACCGTCAATGTTCAAGCACCTAATTGGACGCGATCACGTCGAATTTTCGACTATGAGGCAGCAGGACGCCTTTGAGTTTCTGCTCCATGTTTTCAAACATGTCAGCTTGTCCAAACACCCATCTGGGCTGATTAATCCCATCGAGTCTTTCAGGTTCAGCATGGAGCAGCGACTGCAATGTTCTGGATGCAGACGGGTCCGCTACAGGCTTGACGAGCAGGATAACATCTCCATCCCAGTTCCCTCCCGCCGACTGGCCCATTCGGATCATACTGACGATAGCGATTCTTTTGAGCCTGTGACACTTTTTGACTGTTTGGACGCATTTACGTCTGAAGAAACTGTTGATCTTCGCTGTACTTCCTGCGATGGCCAAAAAAAATTCTCCAAAAGGTCTGCCTTCAGAACGATGCCCGCAGAGCTGGTAATTAATGCTCGGCGATTCGAGTTGGTCAATTGGGTGCCAACTAAGCTAAATATTCCGGTCGGTGTTAACGATGAACCACTTGATTTAAGTCGTTATCTTTCCACGGGTCCTGCCGAGGGTGAAGACATGCTGCCTGATAATGGCGATGCGGATTATGATTTCCAAGTTAACATGGAGGTTCTAAGTCAACTTCTTGGGATGGGTTTTCCACGGGTCAGGTGCGAGAGAGCTCTCTACTCCACGGGGAACTCAGACCTTGAAGCTGCAATGAATTGGCTCCTATCCCACCTGGAAGATCCCGACATCGATGAGCCCATTAACAAAAAGGGGGTCTCGGGAAATTGGGCAGATGAAGCGGATGCTACCAAGGTGGCTCAGCTAAATGATATGGGGATTGACGATTCTCGTGCGAAGCGGGCGTTGGTTGCCACGGGTGGTGATATCAACCGTGCCATTGACTGGGTCTTCAGCCATCCGGATAATATGGATGAAAATCCTGCTGAGCAACAGGTTAACGAGGGCTCCGGTAACATTCCACCACCTGGTTTCAGTACTGCTCCAGCAACTTACCAGCTTCATTCAATAATCTGCCATAAGGGCGCTTCCGTACATGCTGGGTAAGCCAGGGAACCCACCCTCCATTGTCTTGTGGCCGGATCATACTAACATAACAACCCCTTGTAGACATTACGTGGCATTTGTTAGGAAAGCTTTGCCAGGGAAGTCGGGGCTTTCATGGGTGATGTTCAATGATGAAAAGGTTGTTGAGGTGGAGGATATACAAGAGATGAAAAAATTTGCGTACCTCTACTTTTTTTCTAGGGTATAGGTATAGGGGTTAGGACAGTGAGCTGAATGTATTTAATTCACTTGAATACATTGGTCAGTGGATGGCATGCATGACAGACAGTAGTAGAATTTATGTACAATGAATGTGGGTGTTATGTTCGACAAGGCCTCCTGTTAATTCAATGTTATTCCTGTACCAGACTAGTCCTGGCTAGTCAGTTATTCTAATATATGGATAGTAGTATTCTCTATTAATTCCTTGCTGGTTGTCATGTCTGTCACAGCCCAGGTTAGACTAGACTATGTAACTAGCTCTAGTCCTAGCTATATAGCTTATTTATTGGTATTTTATACTTGTTTTTTTTTTAGAAGTTATCGGGTAAGGCAGCCGGCTAATAGGACAAGAGATTCTGTGGCGATGCCCGCCTTTCATTGCCTTGTTGTTATAGTATGCCTATTATTGCCTTACTTTACTTAACTTAAGCTAGTACTAATCTAGCTTAGTTAATAGTTAGTTAGTTATTCTAGACCTGTTATTTCTATTTAGCTATTTATTTTAATTAATTAATTATCTTTTTTAAGAATATTAATTCTTATAATCTAGTAATATATTTATTATTTAAGAATTATTAATATTATTTTTTATTAATTTTTATTAATTTTTATTTATATATAGTTTTATATAAAATAATATTTAAGTTTTATATATTTTCTATTATATTTTTAATATTTTAATATATTTTATATTCTAGTTATTATTATTTTCTTTATTTTTATTCCTATAAACTTTACTTTAATTATTAAATTTTATTAATATTATTTCTAGTTTATTAATTTATATCTTAGCTTTATTAAATCTAAATCTTATTTATTAAAATCTTATATTTTAATTTTTTTTAATTTTTTTTAATTTCTATTTTTATTTATAGCTTTATTTTAATATCTATAAAATCTAAGCTATACTTAACTAAACTTAACTATTAATTTTATATATTTTATAAAATATCTCTAAGTTTATATATACTATAATTTAAAAAGTATATAATCTATTTTATTAAATTTATAGTTATATATATCTTTTCTTCTATTTCTATAAAGAATTTATAGTATTCTATTTTATAAGAAATTAATTATTTTTTAATTAATAAGACTATTAATAAGTTTCTTTAATTAAAAAGATATATTATAATTAGTATTCTAATTATCTAGAGTAACTTAAATTAATAATTATTTTAAAAATTAATAATATAAATCTAATATATTTTTTTAATATTAATTTATATATTTTTTTTATTATATTAATATTATATATATTCTTTATTTTTAATAAAAATAAAGCTAAGACTATTATTTCTAAAAATTAATTCTATTAAAATATTATTAATTAATTTATATTTATATTTAATATATTTTTTTTATATCTATATCTTTTATTTTATTAAACTTTAAATCAATTAATCTTTTAAATACTTTATCTATTATTTATTCTATTTAAATTTATTATTAAGTATTCTTTTTTTTAAATATTTAAAAATATTTATTCTTTAATATTTTTATTATATTAGATATCTTAGAAGATTTTATTATAATTAAATCTTATATTACTAAATTTATATTTAGTAATTCTACTATTTTTATACTATTTAATCTAGTTAATATATTTATTGTTAATAAATAATTTTAATTTAAATTTTATATTAATTCTTTTATAAGATTTATTATTAAGTTTAATACTAAATTTAATATTTATTTAAATTACTAATCTTATATTGTTATGCGCTGCCATCTACAGACACTATATAAATATGCCTGAGATATACTATAGCGGCTAAGCAGCTACTATATAATATATAGATATATATTATACTACTAGTTCTTAGCTAGGAAAACCAGTAATTAATTTATTTAAATATAGATCTATTTTTTATTAATTATATATTATATCTTTATAATCTCTAGAGAACTACTATATTAGTATTATAATTTTATAGTTTTAATTACTCTTTTTCTAGAGGCTTAATATATATAATTATAATAAAATCTAAGATTTAGGAGTAAA